TGACGAAATTGCCTCTTTTTTTTTAATTTTTGCTCTTTACGTGCACAAATGGAGCATGGCATTTTCATAAGGTAGGTAATCAGTTTGGTAGAAATACATTAGTCATTGCGCGTGTTTCGTTCTCTCATCACATTCTTCCCCTATATGTTTTTTTCATCCCTTGCATTGCGTATTTCTATAATAAGAAAATGTACACTGATATACTCACATGTCAGTAGGGGTGTCAATTTGTATTTACTTTGAATTTAATTTATGCGTAAGTTAACTATCAGTAGATTATATTTATTTTAAATTTACAGGAAAAGGACACCCCTACATGTCAGCATATTCAAATTGGATATCAACATTTATTGTCATAGAGAAAAATCGAACCACTCATGTTTACGATTATAATCGAATTGCCATGCAGTTGCTGAAAGAGACGACATAAGTGAGATTTTCATTTTATTCATATTTCTATTGTGAATTACAAACAGTGTTTAAACTATAAAAAAATTAATAATTATTAAAACTAAGAAAAAAACAAAAAGTGAAAAAAGTAAAAGAACTTTTAAAAAACTGCTAATAAATTAAACTAAAAGTCTAAAAAAAAGTTAAAAATCTGAAAAACTTTGAAAAACTAGGAAAATAATAAAGTTCATAAAAATCATAAAAGATGTTAATAATAATAGGAATCTGGCCTCGGATTCAAAGCCGCGACCCCCCCCCTCCCAAAACCCTTAGATCTCTGGTTTTGTTTTAAATAAACTACGTTAAAAATGCATGTTCCATATGTCGTAGTAGAATGAATTATGGATGGAAGTCTCACACGGGCTTCCTTTTATACGGTCTCACTGTTGTTAAGTTTTAGTGCTACAGTGTTGCCAATTATGAGTAAGGCAGAAATACTTATAATTGGTTTGCATCGAATAGAGTGAATTGCGCAATGCAAGTAATGCGAAACACTTGCGTTGATCGGTGTCACACTATCCGTAGTTTCTGACAAGTCTTTGTTATGGTCAATACGTCGCAGGTATGCCCAACTGTGATGCAGTTATTAAAAAAAGTGACGACATGGACACAAGGCTCTTGATCTGTAATATGAGAAAATTTAGCAAGCAGCTGTTCATCGAAAAATTTCTTTATGACGATAACTTGTTCTATCGACCAGACAAGAACTTTTTTTGTCATAAGAACTGATCGAAGCTAAATTCAAGCGATTTCTTAAGAAATCCTGCTCTTTTTAGCAACGCTTTATTTTCGGTAACTATTGCTCTTAGAGCTGCTTTTGATAGTAGAAGTATGTATGAGGAAAGTTTTGAACTAAATTCATAGAAAGTTTTTCGCCGGAAAAACTGTTTCAGAGAGTATAATTTTTAAGGAATATCTGAAAAGCTTTCATTTTACAAAAGTTGAACCGCCATTTTCTATGTTTTCAGAATCGTGCAAGAACCGACGATTTTATCATGATTTATTAGCACCATTAATCTTGAGATTATACCGCTGTTAATCATCTAAACGGTCGATTTTTCCGTTTTTTAGAGAAAATTCCGATTATTCAAATAATAAGTCCAATGATTCACTCCGTTCGTAGTATTTGGATAGACGACTTTGGTTATATTTCGACTCGTTAACCACCGTCTTTTACTATCGTGCTCATAAATGTTTCTCATGTCTTGAGAAGAGAGATAGTTTCTTTCTCCTAACTCGTAGTAAATAATACTAAAAAGCTTTTTTAAATGAAATAATACTTACAGTTCACAAATATAATCAGCTGATTTAAATAAAAGAAAAAACAATATTTATTTTCATACAATAACACTTACTGTTGAAGTTTGTTGGCAATTCATCGATTGGTCGTGATTGTTTTTCACTATCAGCCAGTCACAAAAACCAAGACCGACCGTGCTCAATCGGTGCGGTCACCGATTTAGCTAGTTTTTATATATGTTATAGGTGTAAGTGTTTGATGAACTTCTACGAAAGTCGTCCGAAACAGAATAATTTCATTCTCGAGATATTGAAACTTTTCTGAAGTTACTATTGCCAGAAAAGCAGATTTTTTGCGGCTTTTTTCTAACAGTTATATATCATCATGCATAAATATGTATGTGTTGAAATTATCCGTATGAGTGTATCAGAAGTTCGGGTACTTATCATAATGAAATGAGCTCAAATGGATGAATCATTGCTGAACTGACAAATAATACTGGCATGCACATGAAAACACTGTCATTTTTCGGTATTTTGTGCACATAAACATAGTTCATGAGCGGCTTACGTTAAACAGTTGGCATTTGGGTCAGGGAAAGATTCCATTGAGTACTGTGGTGAAAATTTCAGCGTTCTAGATGCCTCTTGTCGCTGAGAAGATCTTCACCACACTCATAATTGTGCTCAAAAGCATGGCATTGGGAGACACTGATCTTGAGAAAAATTTGATCTATAGAAGTCGGTGTTCTATGATTTCAAGTTACATAATGATTATTACAAAGTGCTGCATGAATCGATCTGGGACTTCATAGAATAATCTGCGAAGCCTTATCATAAAAGAGCCCCCAAATGGTTTCTTTTCCTCGCTTAACATACACCAATTGTTCAGATATTAACGGAAAAATTTCTATATATGAAACAATTTTTTCTATACAGTACAAATCAGCGCTTAATCTTGTGTTAATTGATATATATAACTTTAAACATAACAAGAATGTTTCTTGTTAATTTCCGTACCTCTCTTTTGACAGAGTTAAAAGTCAAGAATATTGTTTTTTCATTTTTGCAGCAGTTTGTAGTACTCAATGTGTCATCTAGAACCATACAGCTCCGACTTCCATCAATCAAATTATTCTCTAGATCGATGTCTCTCAAAATCGTATTTTGGAGCACAATTATGAGTGTGGTGAAGATCTCCTCAATGACAGGAGCCATCTAGAATGCTGAAATTTTTTACCAAAGTATTCAATGGAATCTTTCTCTGGCCGCACTTTCAACTGTTTAACGTGATCTACTTATGAAATACGTGCTATATTAACAATACATCGAAAACAAACGATTTTCTCGTATACATAGAAGTATCGGTCAGCTCGTCAATGAGTCATTCATTTGAGCTCATTTCGTCGTGAAAGGCAAACAGATTTATTAATGAAGAAATATAAATGTCAGGAAAAATTGTAAAAAATGTTCTTTTCCGGCGATAGTGATCCCAGAAAAGTTTCAATATCTCGAGAACAAAATAATTTTGTTTCAGTTGGCTTACGTAGAAGTTCATCAAACACTTGCCCCTACTGCATATTTAAAGGCTACCCAAATCGATAACCATCGATTGAGCAGCTTGTATTGAAGCTGATTGTATCTTATGTAACTTGGCTCATATAAAAATTTTGACCAAGCAGAGAAGCTTTTTTGCTGATATGATATTCTTTGAAAACAAAACGTCTTTGATTAAAATGGTATACGATATCGACAGGAACAAAAATACTAGAAAAACAAACTAGGAGATGTCATACAGTCATCTGTTGATAAAATATTGGTTTTCTTTGTTTTGTGCGATATGATTGCTAACGTACATGATCATGTTGCCTTTTCCGGCTGTTTCATAAGCTTGGACAGACTCGTAACATGTTGACAAATTTCTTGTGTACAGAGTGCAAATATCTTTATTAAAGTTAGATATACGTATTCATTAATTGCAAAATCAAGTACATTTTAAAATAAATGCATATCCATAATCTTTTTAACATATAAAAGAAAAAGCCTTGCAAACATGAACACAGACACACAAAATCGAAAAGAAAAGAAACGTAATTTTTTATTATTTAGATTTTTCTATTCAGTGGTATACCAAGTTGTGCTGCAGCCATACTCATATGTTTCATTTTATTAACTTTTTGTTGAAATTCTTGTTCATATTCATCTTTTTCAAAACATATCGCTGCAATACGATATGTTTGAAGAATCAGAATAAGAAAATTTTTAAATGTAAAGAAATATGTTAAAAATGATCGCACATGATAAACATTAATTGCAATAAGACGAACAGCAAAAAACGGACCATCTTGCAGTGATAATGTGACAAGAATTGACCACATTTCAGAACGAAGAAATTTTGATGATCGTTTAAGAACGAAAAATTTTACATTTCCACCAATTGGTCTTTTACGTGGGACTCTTTTAATACTTGGAGAATTCGAAAAAGGTGATTGTAATGAATTAAGCGAACTAATTGATTGACAAGGATTCATTGTTAATCGATCTACACTTGATGGTGAATCAGCTATAGAAAACATGAATCAATAAATTTAAAAAAGAAATTCTTATTAAAAAAAATTATTTTCATACGTAAATGATTTGCATTTAAGTACATTTCATTTCTTCTAATTGCTTCCGTATTTTGAAAAGTTGTATCTGATGAACTGATAACAGGAGCGGTGGGTGTTCGAGATTTTATGCTAATTTCTGGAGTTTCTCTTTTTGGTGCTAATGGTCGAGTTGTTGATGATGATGTTGATCGTGATAAAAATCTTGATAAAAGTTGACGATGACGCGGTAAAGGTTTTGTAACTAATGGTGTTGGTGGTTCGGATGGTGCTGATTGATGTATTTCAATTTCTGTTTGGTCAAATTCGGCATGAAATGATCGACCACGAGTTGCTGTTAAATTGAGTGCAAATTGAAGCATACATAAAGAAAAAACAATGAGAACTAAGTGAACCATTGGTGAACTTATTTGAATTTCTCGTTCATTAAATAATGTTAATAAATCAAGAATATCCGAAGCAAGTGATAAATAGACAAGTAATAATTGAGATAAGGCACTATGAGAAATATTTCCTTTTGGTACTATCCATCGACCAAGAATAATAATAAACATAAACGAAAGTTCCACCATCATTGAATCTTCAACGCCCCATTCTTTGATCTAAACATAAAATTTACTTCACACAACTGATAAATATATACATATATACAAAAAAAAAACAAATTATATAAATATAAATATGACTTGTTCATGCTATTCGAATTCATGCAATATCATGTTTAATGAGCTGTGTATTTAATGGTTTTCTTAACGCTTGTGTTCTTGATGATACTGAAAAAGTATCTATATCATTGTGATCTTCATGACCAATATGTTCCATGCAAATAGACCATAAACGATAAAATTGTAGAAATAAAATTAAAAAATTTTTACAAGTGAAAAACATTGTTGTATAGGATTGCACTTCAAAATGTATAACAGCAATAAGACGAAGTATGAGAAAAGGTAAATCTTGCATTAAAATAGTTATAAATATTGATGGAAGCTCACTATTACATATTTTATGACATATTGTTTGTATTGGTTTTTTTCCATGTCGACGAAAATATTGTTGTTTATAAGTAAGATTAAAATCTTGATTTGACGAATCACGTTCAAGACGAAAATTTCTTCCACGTGTTCCAACAAGATTAATAGTAAATTGAAATGTTGACCATGAAAAAAGAGCTAAAGTTGAATAAACCATTTCTTTATTGCGTATAACTTTATCTTCTTGAAATATAGATAATAAATCAATCATATCTGATGCTAATGATAAATAAACAAGTAAAAGTTGAGATAATGCAGAGCGGCTTGTTTTTCCTTTTGGTAACATCCAACGACCGATTATTATTATGATTAAAAACGTTACTTCAATAGCCACAACCCAATCATCAATTGTTAATGAAAGTAATTTCTGAAACATGCAAGAAAAGGGCATGTGTCTATAGCATGCACATGCAATTGAATTCTCTGTGTCAAAAAAAAATATTATATAAATTTTTGTGTTAATGTGAACTTGTAAAACAAATGATCATGATGCTATAAAATTATAGTATTAATGCTCTTAAAAATGAAAATCATGCAATGTGGTAAACGGGAATGTCTCGGCCAAATTCTTTTCTTAAACTACATAACGATCTTGTTTGTCTGAAATATGACAAGCTTCCTAAAAGCTTTAATTATACGAATGTATGATTGATTAGTAATCCAGATTGTAGATCTAAGTATAAGAAGATATGTTTTTCTTTTTGTTTTTTATTTGGAAAGCATTAGATAGTCAGTTTTTTCATTAAGATTTATTAAAAAAAAAATTACTATTCATTCATTTATCTAGAACTCTTGAAATCAGATTTTCATCTGTTTTGTTTTTTTCTGCTATTCTTTTATTCCAATCACATATGAAATGATAAATATCATTATGAGAAAAGAGCCTGTTTTCAAGTATCTAGAAGCGGAAATATATAAATCTATTTTCTTTGACATTCTTCAAACTCGGAAATCATTTTTTTCAACTATTCTATTATTCAAATCCTAAACTCCCAATAGAGAACAATAAAAGTTGATCTATTTTTATTATTCTTCAGTATATTGCAAAATGATGCATTTCCATTCCGTTAATTAATAAGAAAAAAAAGGGAGAATATTCATGGCTCATTTATTCATTCATAGCCAAGATAAACAATTAATCAAATCATCAATGCTAGATTGCTTTTTTTTGTTTAAAAATATAAACCGAAATTTATTACCATGCTTCATGCAATTATGTAGTGAAATTCTGTTTTTTTTTCTTCTCACCTTTCGTATGAACATATCCTGTAAAAAATTTTTTTCGATTTAAAATTAAGCTCTTTCTTTTCCTATAGTAAACAATAATCAAATAAGCATACCGTTTTTTCGTTGAGATTAGCTTTTGAAATAATCCCTTTTTCAATCATTGATGTTAATTCAGCTCCTTCAGTTTGATTAAGCGGTACAAGACCAAGTTTACTATTAATACGATTTATTTCAAGAAACCATATTGGTGGAATCATTGTACAAATATAAAGGAAAAAACAAGGTGAAAACCTAGAAAAAAAACAGATTCTTTAGATTTTTTTTCTTATGAATTAAATACTTACCACTTTGGTTCTTTTCCTAAAAATAAAAATAAATAAAAATTTAAATAAAAAGAAAAACAAGGATTAAATCAAACCTTTTCGTTTAACAATTGTGACAATCAATTCAATAAGAAGAAAATTAACACCACACATATTTAATAAATACCAATAATCACCTTTCGTTATAACAATACGTATAATAGCAATAGTTGCATGAAGTGCAAATATAACTCTCATTATAATTGCCTTTAATATGTCCAATGAATGACATACCCAACGACCACATTCACGTAAAGTTTCTCGTGTTTTTGACATAGTTCTATATGTGTAGATTTAATCTATTAAAACAAAATATACACATATATATACATTATATTAGAAAGATAATTGAGGTTGCAAGGTTCACAAGAATTGTATAAATGACGGAAGCAATAGTTGTTCGTGTGGAAACATCAACAAACGTCAGAAAGCAAGAGATTAATAATAATGACTTGGGACCACAAACCGATCTCTTTTGTCTCTCACTGCAATCAGAACGAACGCGAGAGAGAGAGAGAGAGGGAGATTAATTACTCAGAATGTCAAACAATATGTAAAAAGAACGATAGAAAAATAATACTTGCAACAAAACTCTATAGCACCACAAAGATCAATTATTATTTATTCCCATTGAATGGGTCCTTTAGCTCAACAAGGAAACTACAAAATATATATATATATTGACATGTTAGAAAATAATAGGGCTTCTAAGTAAGATCATTTGTTCATTTTGATATATATCGTTGTGATCGAAATGATTTTGTCTCATGTCAAAAAAAGAAAATATCTTACTGTTTGTTGTCATGTTCTGGAAAACGATGAAATATGCACATACTCTCCTTTTTTTTGTTCTATCTATTACATTATAGAATATCAATAGAGCAGTTATGTGTGTGATTGACAATCAATTAAGATAGCGGATCGACATTATTATTTTTTTTTATGTACGAAATGACACAAAACAGAGACAAAAAATTTATTGTTTCTACGAATGATTCAGTTTTTTGTTTTTTATTTTTAAGTACGATGTTGATAACCATATAAAAGTGATGATTGAGAACTTCGATGTTGAACAATATGTTTAATTGTTCTTGATTGATTGGATGCTGGTGGTAAACGATAATTTGATTGACGATTTGAATACACACGAGGATTTTTTTGTGAACGACAATCTTCATTTGAACGTTGATGTGGATGTTTTGTACTAACATTACTATATCGAGATTCTGTTAATGACCAACGTCCACCATTTATTCCATCAGATGATCTTCTTGTTAAATAATTACAACCACAATTTTGTCTAAATATTAAATAAAAATTTATAAATTTATTATAAATAATAATTTGTGAAAACAAAAAAATAATAAAGATATTTGATTAATGAATTAAGAAATGTTTTATTTTTAATGACAGACTATCATGCTAATGTTTTGAAAAATATATATTTTTTACATAAAGTATATTTTAATTCTTAGTGAGTTCATTCTTATTCGAGCATAATATTGAATGAGAAAGAGCGATACACAGTTCATTTTTTTTTAAAAGCATTTTACTAGGAAAGTGTCATAGTTGATGATTGTTTTCTACTGAAAAGATACAGAATGAAAAATTCATATGGTTCAATCGAGATTTATTTGAAACAAAAGAAAAAAAAAACAAGATTCTTGATTACCTGCAACGATAGCAAAAATCTGTTGCAAACAGCCAATAAATAAGTGGATTAGCCAATGAATTCATGTAGCATAATGATGATGTTACTCGAATAAGAAGATAATTTTGAATTAAATTGAGTGAATTCATAATCATTAAAAGAAAATAAGGAGACCAACAGGCAGTAAAAGCTAAAGGCAAAATAAAATTGTCTTCTTATTGTAGTCGTTTTTCATTAGTTTTTTTCAAGAGTATTTTACTATTAAATGAAACTGACAGAAATTTATTTAATTATATTATACAGTAATTCATATCATTCAATGTCTTACAACCATGTTAAAATAAGAAATTATACTGAGTGTATTGTTTTTTACTATACACGTAAATTTTATTATCGATCTGATGATCGATCAATGATCCTGTTTCATTAAGCTACTCTCCAAAACTGATCTTGGACCAAGTACATTAGAGTCACATGAAATTTTCAGGATATTTTGAGGTTATAGTGGAGAAGCTATACTAAGATTTTTCAGCCCTATTCCATGATATTTTCGGAAGACATTGATAAAACAACAATTATAAATAGCTCATTTCGGCAGGGCGGAACTCTCCCCGAGCTCTAGTTTTATTTATTTAATTTCTTTTTCGTTTGAAAGAACATGTCCGACTGCAGTATCCTGTTTTTTAAATTTGTATATTTTATGCCAAGAGAAAAGGACGACAAGTTCTGTTCATCGAAAAATGGTCATCTATTTTTAGAAGTATTTTTTATATAATAATAAAAGAACTTCATTCAAAAATTGGGCTCTATAGCTTTACATGTTCTTTTCAAACAAAGAAAAAAAAAGCAATGAACTACAATAATAATGTTTCTTCGAGAATTCTGTCATGCACGAGCAGAAAATCATAAATCGATAAAAAATGAAAACAGCTTCCTACTTTTTCTGAGAAACATATTTATCAAACAGAACGTGACGGAAATCATCGAACATTTTTCAAAAAAAACATGACCTGCTAAAATAAAAAGTCATATTGTTTGAAAACGAGTCGACCTCAATCTATTCTCTCCATACATTTATCTTCATTTCGATAAATTTGTCGGAAATTGACGCTTTTCGTTTTTTGAGAAACGGAACTTAATCATTCAGATCAACATGTACTGATAATGACTTTAGATCATTCAACAAATGAAAGACTTTTTTTAGAATATCATTATAATCAGAGTTCTGTTTATTATCATTCTTTTGAAAAATACCTAAGAAAAACAAAACCCTAAAAAAAAGATATTTTCCGGTTAATTAAATCCTCAACGAAAGAAAGACCGTTATAAGAATGATATTCTGATACTATATTTGCTTCGATTTATTATGCTACTCTTGATCCAGATGAGTAAAATTTATGCCCTTTGTAAATATGTAGGAGTTTGTTTACTTCTATAAAAAGAAAAGACAAAGAGTTATTTATATGTACTAACCAATGACAATGACTAATGTCATTTTAACTGTTTTTATTTTTGCTCGTGGTATAACACCAAGTGATCGTACATTACGAATACTCGTCTCCATTTCATGATTATCTACAGATTACAAAAATAAAAACTAATTAAGATAAAATATTTCTCTACCATTAAAAACTGATCTTTTAGCTGAAATTAATCGACGAAATTTAGATTGATGATTTTTTCTTTCAGTTGATGTTTCATCTCTTCGAACAACTGAACTTTTTTTCCATATTATTATAATTATAACTATATATGAAACAGTCATAACAATTAATGGAACCAAATATAAAGAAATAAAAAGAAAATAGACATATGCCTAAATAAAGAAAAAACAAAATAGTAATATTTTTTTTTAAAGTTTCATTTTTGCTTAACGTACATTCCAATTTACAACATCAGATCGATTACCACATATTGGCATACCACGTATTATTTCAATATCTCGTAAATAAAGTTGAGCAGAAGCAAATGTCATTGCTATCACCCACGATGCTGTTAGATTTAAAATTAAAAAAAATTATCAAATAAATGAAAAACATAAGTATTTAAATTACCGGCGATTAACGAGTATCGAAATGCTTAAAATATTTAAAAATACAAGAATATATATATATATGAATATAAAGTTATTCAAGATTTACTTGATGATGCAGTTCGTACGTCCATAGGTCGAATAATAGCATAAAGACGATCGATTGATACACAAACAAGTACATAACTGAATAAAAAAAAGTAAATATTTCCAAGAAAACATGATGATTATCTACCTTGAATTGTATGAAATTGTACCCTAGAAAGAAAAAATAATTAGTTTTGTTTTTTTGCTATTTAAAATCGATAAATATAGTCAAATACTATAGACAACTATTAAGATCAAATTTTCACTGATTTTAAGTATTTCAATGAGTTTAATTCGATTGGATATTTTTTTTATTGAAAATTAATAACTTTCTATTTTTGATTAACTTGAAATAAGAAAATATTTCTGTGTTTATTAGAATAGAATTACACTAATATGAATTTGTTTTTGATTCTTCTATCAATTTTCTATAGACTAGCGAACAATGATTTAATCAATTATCTATTCGATATGACACAAGCTACGATGTAAAATAATCTTTATTTCTGTTACTCTAGACAAACAATAAGATTTCTAATAATTCCAGAAAAAGAAAACAAATACTTGTATAAAACTTGTCAATCGACAACCAATAGAGCCAAGAGCAAATGGAATACAACTTTTTTCAATTATATCACGAGTAACAATAATAATACCAACGAATAAATCTAAGCAAAAAAGAGAAATATTTAAAGAAGAAACTGAATCAATATATGGAAGATTTTTTTCTTTGCTTTGAAAATAATTATTTTTGACTTCGATCTCTTTTCTTCTTATAAAAAACAACTCAATCATCTGAATAATCAATCAAATACAATTAGCTTTGATGCACTCCAAAAACAAGAAAAGGAAAAACGTTTGTTTTATCTTCGCATACTCGTAATTATATTCGATGTGTACATAATAATAATCATGATTGAATAATTCGAATATGAATAGTAATACTTACTCGGCAAGTATCGTTCATGTAGAAAGATTTCCGAAAATATTAAAAAAAAAAAAAAAACAAATAAACTTACCCGCATACGCTAGATTCAATAAAAAGAAGCTCATTCGGCTGTGACATTTTTTTGAACAACTTAATTGAAGAATGACCGATATATTGGCCGAAACAATTAAGACAAATATAATACATAGAAAGATGATGAGCTAAAAGGAAAAGAGTATAATTGATTATATTTTTTATACTTTTTCAACCTAATATTGATAAAGTATTCTATCTTTTGGGAATAGCAAGAAAATGAAAATTGCACCAAGAAAGATTATTTAAATTAATAATAGAAGTAAACTTACATGAAAATTTTTACAAAGATCATCTAATGATGATGATTCGATGATTGTTGTAGTTGTTGATTGATTGTTATTCATTATTATGGTTCGATATGTTGTTGTTGTTGCTGTTCTATTTAAATATATATCAGTACTACTCATTGTTATTGTTGTCATGATTTACATATATATACTCTTGATTTTATCTAATCATTGTAAAAGTATTCATAAATAAAAACTTGTCGATAATAATGAGAAAATCATTGCTGTTCGAAGAAATATGTATGTATGTTGAAAACTCGTCTATTTCATCAAATAACAAGTATAACAATCTATCTACAAGTATAGATAGAAGAAAAACAAAAAAAAAAAGAAAAAGACGATGAACAAGAAGAGACAAGCAGGAATGAGCAAAATCACAAGAGGATTTTAAGAGTTGCTTGAGATTAAATCATGATCTATGTGTGCATATGTGTTTACTTATTTAGAAGTCATCATGGTTGAAGATGAGTGATGATCATTTCCTGTAAAAAGCTAGTTTACTATTGTCTTAGCCCTTGTCATCACTAACATTTGTCTTTCTCGTTTTGATAGTGTTAATCGGAGGTAGCACAATAAGGATATATATCCACTAAGTAGGATGAGGAAATGAGACAGATACTTCTAAACACGACAACAGTGACATGATGGTGGTGTGTTTTTTTTTGCTGATTGCCTGTAATTGTCCTGCTGACTCCTTGATAGGAAAAAGAGGATAATATTCTTGTTTGTGTATATTAAGAGATAAATGGGCAAACATATTTTTTTTGTCTCCTACTTCTTAAATGTCAACTTATAGAGACAGTTTAAGATATAACACACCGTAATATGCCTAATTGACATAGGAATACAGATACCCTTGATGTGAAAAATGATGTAAATCGAAGCACGATCATGTTTTTCCGTACATATATATATATATATATATATATATATTTTACTATTTTGCCTAAATTAATCTAAATAACTCTAGTAAAAGCACTCATATTTTTTCTTTAATCGTTTTCTTCCGTTCTTTCGTACTGACTCAAATCTTTTCCTTTCAAATAAAAGCTTCAGCTAGTGCTGAGAAAAATAGTCAACTAATATACAATACAGACAACAATGTCAATTGTCTTTTATACGCGCATTGAATTTTAGTGTTCTTCTTCTTATTGTAAAAATCTTTGAACGCTCAAGGCACACTAATGTGTGTGCGTGTGCGTGTGCGCATGTGCTTCTCGTTGCTTTTTCTCTTTCTATCTATTTAAGGATAGTCAAAAGAAACAACAGGAACTTGTATATGTTCCGGCATGGAAACACAAGAGTATCAGCACTGATAGTTTCTTCGTCTACTGCCAATGAAAAATAATCTATTCTAAGAAAATATCGCCTAATACAGTACCAGATGACATGTCACAATTATTTTATTATCAATATAATATAGATACATATGCTAGATAGTTTCTCATAATTAATGAAGTATCTATCTTCGTGTTTTTTTGTTTTAGTGTTCAAAAGTTTAACTAATTAAATTTTAAGTTGATCAAAACAAAACAAAAATAAACAACTGAAAGTTGTTTCTTTTTAATATTAATCATAAACTTGTAATTGATTTGTTTGATGAAAAGTAGTAAAAGCTTGTCGTAAATAAATATTTAGTGCTAAGATTGGTAAAGCACATAGTAATAACAGGATTAGACTATATAATATAAGACATGTTGATGATATTGGATCGATATATCGAATATTTGAAACGATTTTAACTGGTTTTGATGGATTAATGTTTAATTTTATTCCATTTAGATTTTGTACAATTTGATCCGCTTGAATTTTCCTACTAAAAAAAATTAAAAAAAGTAAACTCACCATAAAGAATGATTGGAAACTTTTTAGACATGATGCTTGTTCACTTTTTGAAAGGTATAATTTTGTTCTCTTTTCGAATATGACCTGAAAAGTTTTGCTTGAGAGTGATTTCGATGGAAAATTTTTGTGTTTTCAGTATTGTGATTCGAAAGTAAAAGTCCGAATCTTTATTTATTAATTTCTGTTTTTCCTAAATACGGATTTTTGAAAAAAAATCGATGACCGTTTTGCGTTGACAGGAGCTCTTAAAAATATGCTTGCGTAAAAGCTACAACATAGTTCAATATTATATTTTGTAGAGAAGTGTTTGCTGTTTCCAAAAATTTTTCACATATTCGAAAAGAAACTTATAGGGTAAACAGAAATCTATTGGCTGATCACTAAAAATAATTTTTCAAGTCTTTCAAAAACTTCCACCAAAATAGATACAAAATTTCTAAGCTCATATTCAAATTGTAGCCGCGGCCTATAATTTTTGGCTTGTCTGAGATGTTTTCAAGCAGATTACAATAAATAAACATGTTTACCGGAAATAATAGTTCATGAGTGCCGTCCAAACTAATTATCTTTAGACTTTTTAAAGATTATTTCAGTACTCTCGAACAAAAATTCTACACCCATATCCTTCATCCCAACTGATAGATTTTGACTTGTCGGAAACCAAAGATGAGATCGGTTTGTATTTGTTTGGAACTCAACTGATCGCATCTGTGTTGGAAATATGTCAAAAGTGATAAAATATCTTATCTTAAAAACTTTTTCATCATATGCTATGAAAAAAAATTAGATGATTTTTCTCAATTAAAATAAATAATTATAGTAATGCTGACTCCTTCCGGAATAAGATGATTTAAGAAGAAATTAGTTATCTTTTTTTTTTCAACTCACTTATTCATATTTGTCGATCGAGGTGCCTGATTAGATATAATAGGTCCCAGTATGGGCCACATACCAATTAACCACGGCACACAATTGAGAATATGTTCACATTTTTCAATTAAATTTGTTTAGCATATTAAATCCGCGGGAAAATCTTACAGCAAAATATATATAAAAAAACTAAATATATATTTTTCTTCATCTTCATCATCATGCAAAAACGCAAAAGTTTTTAATTACGGCGCAAAAGAATTTAATTGATTATGAAAAGCTAAGTGTAATATTTAGATCAGTCAATGATTTCCTGACGTAGGAAGTGGTAATAGTATAATATAATCTTTTCACTTTATGAACTTGACAGAAAGAAAAAAAGTAGGATATAGAGAGCTATCACGGCTTTTTCTTTTCCATGAATTCTTTTCTTGCAGTGTAAATTTAATTATCTAATTTGATTTGTTATAGATTTGAATAATATTTTAAAATTATTACTATTAATAATCAATGAATGAAATAAGATTTTACAAGTAAAAAATCTATTGCTTTGAATTAATATTTATTTATGAACAAAGATGAGAATCGTTATAAAAAGACAAGAAAAATTTGCAGAGTAATTAAATTAACTAAAGTTTTTCATTATTGTTTATAAAAAAAAGAATATTTGTATATTGATTCTTTCCATTAGCAACATCAAAAGCCAAAGAACCAACGAAAATGTTCTCTTCCACACAAAAAACATTGAAGGCAAAGTTGTGTTTTTTTCATGACTCAATGTGTTCCTTTCGTTTTATTTATTTTCTTGCTTTTCTCTTCCTATGACACATCATACCTCATCTTTTATGTCATTAGCTATCATTTGCGTCTTTTTTGGCATTGTAAAATTTTCTAACAAATATTTTTATGTTATATAAGATGACAATGATTGACGTCGCTATTTATTGCTAATAATTATAAACAACATTTTATCAGTTTATTTTCTTTTAGAAAGTCATGCATGCTTTTTTTTAATCGTTCTTCAATGGATAAAATACTCTTGTAGGCGTTATTTAACCATATGGAGCTTGGTTTTTTCCCATATGCATTGCCTTGCCAATTGGAATTTTCCAAGTGGTTCATATAAATAACATCGTTGAATTACACACAGATGGAAAAAGTGAAAGGAAACATTATTCGTTAGGTAGAATTGCTAATGGTTATATGTTTTAAAAGTTAAGCATTAAAAAGATGAACACTGATGAAGAAATCAAAATGGTTGGATTGTGGAAGGAACAACGAAGATTAGTTCCAATAAAAATTACTGACGATATACCCACAATTGAAAAGACTATTACTAATGTCTTCAAATTGCAAGAAATAAATAATTTTAATGAATATCAAATTCAATATTATGATAATGATTATCAAAGATTTATTGATTTATACTCTGAAACATTACATTTATTTCATCAAATTTTACATAAACTTTCATCAGCTGATGCACCACTAAAATCATCAAAACAATGGGCTTTAAAAATTGTGCCGAGAACTATTGAAACTATACGTAAGTTAAATAATAATAAAAAAGTATTTAGCTTATTTTAGTTTATCTTTTTTTATGATTTATAGGTCCTAGATTAGGTAAATCAACAAGTGATGATACATATAATTATCAACAGGAAAATGATCGAACAGAATTATGTATGAATGAAAGTAATTTATCTTTAACGAATAATATCGATCCATCTTCATTTTCAGGTAGATTGAATATTATCAAAAATCGCAATTATATTCAAATTTTGAATTTTATTTAGGAATTGATAATTCAGAAAATTTACCTAGATCTCAAACAATTCAATATAGTAATGATAATCAACAAAACATAATTCAATCCGATGATCAATTATCACAATCAAATACAACTAATGACGAATTAACTATTACATATAATCATCCATACAGTTTTGGCTTTGATTTCAATCTTGCTATGGATCAACGATTACAATTTGAAAGTGACATGTTTCGAAATCGCTCATCAAAGTATTAATATTGTCTTTATTGAATAATTTTTTAATATGTTTGTTTTATATAAAAGATCAACCGTTGGTGGTGTTCTACTTCGCGCATCGGCTAAATTGAACGCAACTACAGACGATGATATACATTATCCAACTGTTCATGTAATTAATCATGTTTAGAAAAATAGGACAATTCAAATTATATTTATTATTTTTGCTTCCTAGTTTCGAATTCCAAACGATCAACTTTATTATGCATGGTTTATTTATATCTATGTATTAACTGAAGCAGATGTAAATGATATTCATTATTTACATGCATCAAAAGGTATATTTGATAATTACACAAAAGCTCAAGATAAATTCGGCATCATTCCACATACAGAATTAGTTAATCCATATGTTGTTCAATTATCTCAAGATGAACTTCGCGATGGGAAATATGAGTACGTATTTTATTTTTAATATAATTTTCTTTTGTGTTTATTTATTTTGTATTTAGACTCAGAATAAAAGTATGCAATATTAAAAATTTACCGCATCTTAAACATGAATGTTTACGAGAATTTCCTCGATTAAATACTCTTCTACTTTATGAAGATAAAAGTTTATTATCTACAAAAACAACATCAGATTCAAATTTTTCAAGTGAAAAATATCATCTTGGATGCATTCTTGTTCAAAATAAAACAGCACGAGATAAATGCATATCAAGTTTAACTATTACAAGTAAACGAAAATTTAATTAATACATAGAAGAATATAATTATGGATATTTGTTTTTTTTTTTGTTCTTGTTAGAAAGCAATCGAAAACGAACTGATAGTGGTAGATTAATAAAACAAGATGATGCAAATCCAACAAAGAAGCAGAAACAAGATTGAATTAGCAATAATTTACAATGCATTATTAGGAAATTTCAATTAGGATTAATTTGGAAAAAAAAAAGAAAATCTTTGGATTTATATATAAATATTGATTCAATTGTCTATTATGAATATAATGGTCCACTATAGATAAATTAAATTAAATTAAATCTCAATATTGATGGTCAACCATCGTTAAACATATTATTCTGGAAGTTGAACTTTGAAATACGGTGCAAAGCACAGCATTACATGTACTCTTTTACGAGTTTCTTTTTATTCACTTTCACGATGTACTTATCAAAAGTGCTTTTTTTTTATATATGCAATGATCTCGAGAACAGATACTTGTAAAATTCGAGATCAAACGTGAGATAAAAGTATCGAGATTGAACCGATACCATCGTCTTTCCAAGAATACTCCGTTTGTTTACAAATAGCGTTATAAAAACAATATAGTTTTCTTTAAAATTAAAACATAATTAAAAAAATAAGAGAAAAAAAACCATTTAACTATCACACTCTTTTTGCTTATAGCGAAAACACCTGTGAATACGGTTGATGATAGATAATGAGTGCATCAAATGATCGATTGAAAGTATTTTTATTAATAATTCATTGATATCTATTTAATAGAGTTCAATGTTTTAGCTTCGATCAGAATGTAGATTTTACGATTTATTACCGCGGAAAAAAAAATCTGATTTCAGTAAGAATCTTTTGGTAAAAAGTATTTCGTAATCAATCATAAAGATCATCGTTCGTTTTTACGAGATATAGATTTTTCGGACAACCGACATTTACAACTTCGCATCGTATTTCACATTTCTTTTATTCTAATAGAACAAATAAAAAAAATTGTAAAACATCTGTATCAACATGACTATGAATTAAAGACAATCAAGAAATTAACAGATCAAGTTCAGAAATTAATAAAAAAAAACACTCTTTGTTTCTGGACAGTTATCAGGCAAAAAAAAGCAGAGTTTCATATTGATTGTTGCAAGAGAAAAATGCCTTCTTAATTATCTATCTTATCAATGGCACACCGACAGATGAGTCTCCTGATATTTGAGTCTGACATAAAAAAGAGATTACAAAAAATACAAGAAGATAATTTTATTTCAATATATTCACACTAGCATCTAAAATAGAACAAAGCTCTTGCTATCAAAGGAGAAGAGTTAGTTGTTGTAATTGCTCATCAAAAGCTCATATTTATTACGTTTCTTAAATTTTGCGTGTGATTATGGTGCTTAGTTTTTCTTGATTCACGCCAACACCTTTCTAAAGATTGGTATCGAGTTATTAAAGTGCTGTTAAGTCATTATGTATTTTCCTCGATATAATAACTCCTCTGTCTCTAGTTAGAATTAAGCACTAGAAGATCCCTTAGTTTATGAATTTATTAAAAATTTGAAAATGAAACATGATGCAAGCTTGATAATGGCCTAATAATTACAAGTTGGATTTGTGAAACTAACGAAGCATGTGAAATATGAACTTGTGATGGATGAGCAATTACAATAACTAGTTTCTTCTTTTCATTTGATAACAAGAGACTTATGCCTCAACCGAGCAAAAAGTCTATTCTTTTTTCATGCAAATGTGAGATTATTAAAATAGAATTATTTTCTTGTATGTTTTAATCTCTTGTTTATGTCAGGCTCAAATATCGAGAGCTCTTATGTCAGAAGCTCAACTTTCGGAAGGCTCATCTATCGTGTCATCCTTTTGAATTTGCATTGAAAACAAAACATCGTTTATATTGAAAAACAAATTTGTCAAATTAATTTATTCTTCGCCAAGAAAAATAAAATATAGGCACTAAAATCTTCGAACAATAGAAGAAACGAACTGTTCGAAGTTCAATCTTAGAATGATGATTTCATATTCGTAATAACAATTGATCGAAAAATTCTTAGCCCAGATGTTTGTTCACTGTTGACCTACTTCCGACGAGTCAAAAGCTATGATTTTGTTCTCATTCCAACAGGAAAGACATGCGTTTTGTAATCTGTTGTCAAGATGCATTTATTCATAATCATTGTTAAATTTATAAGATTTTACGAAGATATAGGAGTCTTGGTTTTCAGATACTCAACTATGGTATGTTCAGCAATGTGTATATAGATATTTCTAGTGAAACATTATTAGATCTGTTGCATGCAACAACTCTTATTTAGATATTTTCAACATTTTCATCGAATATCATATAAACGAGTGACGAGAAGAAAAATAATTATTAAACAGACAAACATAGAGTACAAGGATATAATTTGATGATTTCACTAAATGACTTCATTACATATTTTGCAGACATAATCTATTTTATAACATATAGTTCATAATAAATATGCTACTGTCATCTATACTATCATATGTGCCAACATAAATTGCACTAAATCTTGCTACCCTCTTATTTTCTATGCATAAAAAAAAAAAAATTTCTTTACATGATAAAACATAAAAAATTTACAACCATACAAAAGTGTTGGCTTTGTTTTTCAAACAAGTTTAATCTTGTCGACGTCAAATTTAGAAGATTTTCATTTTCTCAGTCATTCAATTGCAATTACCTATTTTCTACTGTATGTTTGAATGCACTTTGAAAAATCATGTTTTCAAATGTCTGATTTGTTCTATGAAATATGTATTATTTTACTATGAGATGTATCATTTAATTCTGAAAAAGACCGTATAAAGATTAGATTGAATCGTGAAAAGATTTAGATTATTTTGAATGAGAAAATACCGATAAGATAAATCTGTGCTCTAAAATATACATCCAGGTAAGCAGAATTTTAAAAAGAACTCTGTGAGATACTCGAAACATCATTAGTACCTTTATTAAAAAATTTTTATCAGACCTTTGTGTTTTTGACTGTCACAGTGGGACAGCTAAGTAGGTGTTCTTGTTATAAATTTTGCACCGACAAGAGAAAGTTGTTTGAGACATAAAGCTGACAGTTTTGTAGAGCTTCGAATTCTCTATCTTTAGGAATAAGAAATCTTTTTATGATTAGGAAACGAGAGAAAAAAGCACTGAGATCTAGTGCAATTTCTTCTAAGACACCTGCTATATATAGATATAGATATAATTATATTCGTGACATGATATCCTCGAGGATTTTCATTAGGTATTGTTTATTATCTTTCATCATATTTTCTTTCTTAGCCTATACACTTTATTTATTCATAATACAATAAACGAAAAATAAGAGTATTTATAATTGCTAGTCGTAAAAGTTTGATAATATGCATTGATTATATATCTCTTGCAATACTCAATAAAATGTTTATATTCTAAAACATTCTTTATATTCTATACGTCAACCTGATATCGAATGTGTCTAGCTGACAAATTCCATGATCAATTATGTCATCGAACATGTCAATTGAAGTTGAAATAAGTGTGAGAAATGCACACGAGATGTTCATTGTTTTGCCAATTATTCTATTATACATCATAAACTTATACAACAACATTAAATTTACTACGGAAACACTGATCAATAAATATATTTACATAAATCTATTTGACACATAACAAAAAAAAAATGTAAAAAATAGAGAAAAAAAGCATTTATATTGCTATCAACATAGAATAAAACTAAGCATTGCAGCTAAACAAATGACAATAAATAATTTTAAAAAATTAGGCCGTTCAATATTTGTTGAACCCATATTAATATCACCTATTCTGATTTGTTTTTTTGTTTGTAATATTAAATCATCATCAGAAAAACATGATGATGAATTATCAAAATCATTGATTTCAAAACGACGTGAAAGACAAAATTCACGTCCATTTGCATATAATTCACCAACAGGTATACCTTTCATTAATGCTGTTGCACATGCTTTATGCATTCGATCACAATATGATAAACATACATGTAGACGTTCACTTCGATAAAATCCATATTGCAATGGTGAACATACATAACACATTAATACATTAAGAAAACGTGTACATTCTGATGACGAGCCAATTAATGGACGTACCTGAATACAAAAAAAAATGCAAGACATAATCGAGACTTTAAATTAATGCATAAATTTTAGTGACTTTAATTAACCTGAGAAAAAATAAGACGAACTTCATTATCTCGACAACAACTATTCTCTTTAAACCATGTACAATTAGTCAATGCTGGTTGTGGGCTTGGTGCACGATTAGAAAAAAATGAACAATATGGTGCAGTATTTGATGATAGTGACGAAGCGGAATAAGAAAAATTATTTGTTGTCAATACAGATGACAACAGAAAATAAAAAAGAAGAAGTGGAGTTAATATGAACTCTTGTGCCATATAAAATACAAGCAACAAAACATCAGATAAGATTATTCATAATCTAAAATAAAACATATAAACTATGACATGAAAGCCTTGATACAAAATATTCCTTCATCTTTCGGTTACAAAAAGAAAACTGATTAGAGACAGAATTTTTCACCATTTCCGAATATATACTCAGATTTTTCTTTTAGGATAATATTGAATACCTGTTAGTAAATTTTATGAAAAAATCTAACACTGTATCTGTACAAAGTAAAATAGCGGTTTTAGCAGTGTTCTAACAGCTTCAGTTCCACATTATTGAAGAATAATGAATTCTACACAAAATGAAATATTACAATTAGAGGTATAAACCGATGCATTGATCGGTGACGACAGAAGGTGTTCGTAATCTCGAGAAGTTTTGAAATGAAAAAGACAGAAAATGATGGTAGAGAACTTAAAAGTGCAACAAACACAAAGGCTTTGGGTTTGGTAAGGTAGCATCAACCACGATCTACTTGATTAGAGGTGCGGCATAAACAGAAAAAAATTTTGGGGCCTGAAATTAAATTCTTCGTATTTGAACTTGATCTTGGACAAAAAATAATATGAATAGTTTGCGTTTCGATAACAGTCACTAAACTTAAAATTATTTATGTGGATTTGATCGAAAAGTAAATTCATACTCGATATTCAAAACAAATCCCAAGACTCTTGGTCACAAACCTATTCGAGATTTATTACATCCATAAGACAACTTATTGACAAGAAATCAGACGATAACATTTTCAAAAACTGATTTGGGATGTCGGAAATTTTTCGAAAATTAAATATCTATTTTTGTGAACAGCGGCTCAGCCCATAAGTGAAACCCATCTGTGCGTTTACACTAAAGAGTTAGCTTCTATGGAAATCAACATTAAAATTATTATCTACAATCACTAAAATCTGCTTCTAGCTTCGTCTTGCTCTAACCAGTTACCTTTAAATGATAGAAAACTGAGTGAATATTTTGTGTTGAAACTTTCGTATCATAGGTTAGCACAACGACTTTCAAACAGTTTGTTGTGATATTACTGTCGTCAAGCTTTAAAAGTTAGCATTGGTGTCCGAAACTTTTCTTTCACTCGACAGATGGTAAACTTTGTTTTGTAACTAACCATTTGCTTTCTTGATCTTCTCAAATACATAGATAATCACTTCAAATAAAGAGGTAGATTTCTATATATATTCTTCGTATTCATTCTAATAATTGACCATAAATAATCATTGAATTAAAATTTTTATCTACAATGACAACAGAAAGTTGACATTATTAGTTTTATTATATATATATAAACCAATAAAATATAAACAAATGAATGAATGCTTAATTTAACAATTTTTTCTCTTTCTTTTTTTATTTTTTTACAAACATGCATCCCTCAAAAAAAAAAACGAATAACACATTTTTATAAATTTCAAACGAGCAAAAAAAGGAAAATAAAGAATAAAAAAAAAACAAAGATTAATAAATAAATATCACTGCATTGGAACTTGGACTTGTTGCTGTAATAAAGCAACTCTTTGTCTACGTATTGTATACAAAACACCTATGAGTCCAAGTAATACTACCATTAAATATAAATCCCATGATGAATCTAAATCAATTGTGGCTGAATCATTTTCGTTTGTATTTGATGATTTATTGTTCGTAGATGAGAAAAAATTTGAAAATAGATTTTCAAAAAATATTTGAAACTTAAGTTTGACAAGAACAATAGCAACTGGTAAATAAGCTTCTGCATTTGTTTCTAATGCCATATCATAGAAACGTTTTGCTAAATGTATATCCTAATGAAAAATAAAACAAATCAAAACATATAATCAAAAGAAAATAAAAAAGATAATAATAATTAATTTACTCGTTTTAATCCTAATCCGTTTTCGTGCATATATGCTAAATTAAACATTGCTTGGGGATTTCGACTTAAATCACTTGCAGATTTATAATGAATAGCTGCTAATTCATAATTTTGTTCAGTTCCATATCCACTGCAAAACAATAAAATAAAATAAAATTGTAATACTAATAAATTCTATACACTAGAGAGCTATGGATTCATAAGAACGGGGATTTGTAGCTTCTTAGATTACGTATAAGATACTCTTGATTGATATCGCTTACATCAATAGAACTAAAACTATTCCACACAGATAAAGATTTCGACGTTAGTTTTTGGTTAACATAATGCTCTTTTGAATTAAGCAAAAGTTTTTCATTTATTAAGTATTGGATGATGAAAAAGTGAGTGAAAAAAAATAACTGTGCATTAAATTTTTTTCGACAGCAGCTAATAAATAGCTAAAACTTTAGATCTGGACTAATGTCCTGCATGGGTACACCTTTTCGCCACCGGAGCTTATCGACATTCGACAGATAAATTCAGTTACAGTATGGCTTCCAAAGGTTTCATTTTTTATGATAAAAAAAATATACTGTTTAGTTTCTTCCATAAATAACAATAAAAATGAAAGAGATTATCTCAAATTCTACAAATAGCAAATGAATCAGGATTCACTTTCCTTCTAGAATCTGATGGCTTTCGCTAAGTCTAAGTTTGCTTAATGCTGAAATGAACCTCAGTGTTGGTGACAATCGTCACAATTGTAGATCACGCATAAATTCTTTTTCTCTTACGGTAATACATGTTTACTTTTTCATAATTCATTTTTCTCTCGACGTATTCAATTACTTCGTCACATGGTTCATCATCATCTGTAGATGAGTTTCCATCAAAAACCGAATTCTTTAAGTAAAACAATATTGCTTTTCACTTCCATCTGCATTTTGAAACATCGAGATCGCATTAATCGTCAGGTCAGCTTCGAGCATGAGATCATACACGGCACCTGAATCTATATAAAACCTTGATCTACAATTCTCTATCCCACACAAAGAATATTGATCTCATGTATAGAAGCGTTCAGAAAGGAGATACATCTTTCTTAATCGAATTCTTATTAATAAACTTTGTAATCTTACTGAATAGATTTTATGTAACTTTGTATTATATCAAACACAACTAAAATTAGTTATCTATTCTATTCATTATGATTCAAATTATAATCATATAGAGATTGTATGAAAAGTTTTTCTTTTTCGAACTTACTAAAAATAATAATCTCCTAATTTAATTCGTGCATAATGAAAACCTTGAATTGCAGCTCTATGCCAATAAAGTAAGGCTTTTTTATATCTTTCTTCTTGTTTTTTATATATATTTGAAATATCAAATGACATTTGATCAATAATATAAGCAACATTGGATTGTGCAACTTCATATCCAACTTCAGCTAAATATAAATAAGTCATAAATGCTTGTTCAATATGTCCTTGATTATATAATTGAAATGCTTTCGTAAACATATGTGAACATGGACCACGTTCAGCAACACTTTTAAAAAGTTCTGTAGCTGTTGGACATGATCGTAATACACCGGTACCAGTTGCATGCATTTGTGCTAAATTATAATAAGCAAGAACATGTCCTGATTGAGATGCAGCTTGAAACCATTTAAGAGCCATTTTAAAATCTCGTCGAATACCTTGACCATTATAATACATAACACCAAGCATAAGTTGTCCTTCAGCATAAGATTGATCAGCTGATAAATGAAATAATCTAAAAGCTTTGTCATAATCTCGTTCAACACCAGCCCCATGATAATATGCTAGACCAAGACCAGCTTGACCTATTGGATTACCTTTATCAGCAGCACTTTGAAAAAATTGTACAGCTGTTTCATTATTTTGTTGAATAAAATCATTTTTTTCCGAATATAATTTTCCTAAATATGCTAAAGCATTTACATTACCATTTTCAGCTGCTAAACGAAAATAATAAAGTGCTTTATCATATGCTATATCACGGAAATAATACAATTGACCAATACCATACTAAATAAAATATTTTATCGGATTAGAAAATAGAAATTTTTTTTTTATTATCGTACTTGAGCTTGTGGATCGCCACGATCAGCTAATAATTGATAATATTGTAAAAGATTATGATCAATCAAAATATTATTTTGTATTGGATGTTCATCATCATCATATAGACGAATACGTTGAACCATTAAACCACTCGCTGTTGTTATTTTTGAAGCAACTAAAATATATAAAAATAAACATTTTTTTTTCTTTATGTTTGAATAAACAAAAACTTCTTCTACCATATGTAGCAGCTTGTTGATAAAATATTAAAGCTAATTCACAGCTGTGACCTACATTTATCGAATGCCAATATCGATAAGCCTAAATATAGAAGAAAAAAAAGAAAATATTGCTCGGATGTCAAGTGTATCTCGGTCGACTTAATTGAATTTTTTACAGTGTGAAACCAATATGTTTCTTTTTCTTTCAGATAGAGAACTTGAATGCGTATCGCAAGCCTTTCATCGGTTAATTGTATAGATCTGATTAATAAAACTATCATTTCTACTGTAATTAAATTTAGTTTTTTAGCATTCCGATGTTATAACATAATCAAAATTACAATTACAAACAAAGTTGTCTGTAAAATGAACAAAAAAATATGTTTTAAATTTCCACAAAACAAGGAAATCCATTTTATATGGAATTTTAGTCATAAAGAACAAGGTAAAATATTTTAAGTCAATTCCGATATATTCTCAATTAAAGAATAAATTAAATCGACGGCTTTCTATAGTTTTAAACAACGTTCTTCCTTTTTTCATCTTCGACAGACGTTCTGTAATAGATCAGTTATATATTGACTACATCTTATAATTTACTCGATTCGAATTATTGTTGCTAACTGCAATTTTTCAAATTATAACATCTGTTGGAAAACTTAATGAAAACATATTCAATCTAAGCTGATTAACATGTATGAACTAAATTTCTCATACAACAGTAGATTATTCATGACTTAAGATGTGTACGGTGTATTAACTCTACATATCTTTATTTATTATAATTTTTACAATACTTACAAGTGCCATTTGAGCTAAATAATAACCATCAGTAGCAGCAAACGTTAAATGAATTAATGCCTAAATGTATCAATAAATAACATTTATAATCTCAATAGAAAGTAAACTTACTTTTGAAATGCTTGCATTTGGAATCAGCCCAACACTATTCAGGAAATAAAGTCCCTGGATGAAACGATTTTAAAAAAAATTCTAATTAAAAATAAATATTTATTTACATAATGAGATTGTGGTGAACCAATTTGAACGCCTTCTTCAAAATATGTTTTAGCAAGATTAAAATCCATTGGTAAATATATACCCATAATATGTCCAAAAGCAAGTTCTTCTTTTGCTCCAATATGACCTAAATCAGCAGCTTGTTTCAATAATTTATAAGCTCTAAACAGAATGTATATGATATATTCAAGAAAAAAATTAATTATTTATTTTTACGTTTCATATTGTCGATTAGTTGTTACATTAATAAGTTTCATAGCTTCATGATAAATTGTGTCAGCTTGTTCCATTTCAGGTGTTAAAGAAATGTCATCATCATCATCATCACCATTATTATCATCATCATGATTTTCTTCTTGAATATCACTATCGTTTTCATTTGTATTTAATTGGGATTCTTCGAACGTAACAGGGAGATCATTTTGAGTATTTAATAAATTAAGATTTTCTTCTTGTAAATCAGAAGTAGTCTTTTCTTTTTCAATATGATATTTAATTATTAAATTTTGTTTTGGTTTCACTGACTCATCGTTTTCTATTGGTTTTGATTCAGAAGGATTTATTTCGTTTGGTGGTTTATTATCATCATCAGACTTTATTGGTTCAATTATTTTATCAGTCGATTGATCAATTGGGATTTCTGACTGAATAAAATAAAGAATTGTATAAAGACTGAATATGTAAATTTTATAAATCTTACTGATATGGAATCGGTTTTATCTTTATCATCGGGTTGTTTAGATTTGAGATTTGCATTGGCTAAGAGAAAAATTCTTTAGTACTGTAAAAGTTGAATTCAACATTGACATAAAATAGTGATATAAAAATCGTTTGATTATTTCTGTTATTTTGAGATACATTAGAAAATTTTCCATTGAGGTCATTGCTTAGAAATATGTTTTTATTAGAAATCATGTTAAAAGTATTTAGTATAATATGATTAATACCTTATCTGTCCTTACTTGATAGGGAAGATCCAACTAAAGCAATTAGAATGAAAACAATTAAATATAGGCGTTTATTAAAATAACACTGATGCATCTAAAAAAAACAAAGAAAATTGTCATATGATCACTAAGCGTTGAATCATAAAATAATTATTTCTCTCATGTTTGTAAATCATAGATAGTGTAATATGGTTTTAGTAGCCGATTAGATAGTAGACACGATTGAATGATTATAAACATTTCGACCAATCATTATTAAACAAGCTTGTAACCAATCATACAATCATGTCAAAACGTCCAGAGGACGCTTTTATATAATCAATTAAAGTAATAAATATATTTAAGAATAAAAAAAAAGAAGTAAGACAATAAAGAATGACTTGAACATCAACTACATAAAATTGAACAATTAACAAACGACAAAATAGACTATAAAAAAAGAACAATTGATAAATTTCATTTATTTACAACGGAAGTTGATAAGTAGAAACTCGATAGTCTTTTGAAGCTAAATGAAGAATATTTTGTTTTGATTGAATAGCAACATCAAGAATTTGTGAATGACAAATTCGAGCTGTATATGCACCTAAACGTTTTTTTTGTTGATATTCATCATAAATCGTTATATTTAAACCTTGATGATTATCAATTATTATTAATTGTCCTTTAGAATTTAATTTAATATTTGTTGGATATGTTATATAATTTGTTTCTTTTATTTCACGTATTAATTGTCCATTATATGAAAAAACTTTAACTGTATGAAGATGATTATCAGATATAAATATTTCATGATTATTTGAACATATTGATGTTGGAAATTGTAATTGTTCACTTAAATTAAATACAGATAGAATTTTTCCATCTANGGTTGAAGCCTGGGCAATGAAAATTGAGGGAGATATTCACGAAATACTGACACCGCCATTCTTTATGGGCCACCCGTTACATGATGCACATAGCTCTACTCAAAAGTCACTAATATAGTAGAGCGACTTTCCTTGTCAGACAAGATTTTTGAACCATTTGTTATTTTAAACTTCTTAGTAATTGATATTTAAAAAGTAGTATAGCTTAATGTTATTGATTATTTATTGAATTTTCATTACTCACACATACGACACTCAGTAATGAATTAGAATCATTAACGAAAATAAATTTTAAATAAAACTCGAAAAGTTAGAAACAGAGTTAGACTTACAAACTTCATTTTTGAATTATTATGACATATTCCCCAACTTCTCGCGCTTCTCAAAAATTAATCTTGAACCAGGTATATTCATATCGCATGAAATTTTCAGAATATGTTACATTTCTCTATAAATAATTTTCTTTTGTTTGAAAGAGCATATCTTAAAACATAGCACTCTCAATTATAAACGCAGTCTTTCATATAATAGTAACAAAGCTTAATTCAAAAGAGGACTCTCTCATGCGCTTTCAAAAAAAGAGTTTGGAAAAAAATAGATGTCAAATAAAAGGTCATGCCACTTACGAAAGATCAGACCTCGTGCTATCTTTTCATATAATTATCTCAATTTCATGTTTTTGACGACAATCGACTCTTTGTATGGGAGCCTTATGCGCATTCGAAACAGTTCAAAAAATAGTATTTTATTGTTTAAACAATATCATATTCATTCAACTCTATTTAAATGAAGTTTAATAATAATAATAAAATTGTTAAAATGGGTTCTACTTGAAAATATCCTAAGACTTTCATTACCATTGATTATTTCTAATATCTGGAAAAGCAAAGCAATCGAATTATAAGACTACTCAAACAGACAAGAATTTTTGAAAACATGTTTAATTGCACTAATCACAGTTCCTGTTTGAACATTTGCATATCGAGTTAGAAAACATCATACCTAACTACTTTCATGATAATAGATGCGTGAAGACGCTTTAAACAAGCAATATTTTGCATCTGGAAAATGTTCAAAAGTTTTCTCACAATACTCTTGACATTGAACGGGTATGGAAAAAGAGACGTCATTTTTATTAACCAAGCACGTCAAAAAATATTGGAAAGAACAAATTTTTACACGTTTTCAAGATGTAAATGTAGCATTGTTAAGAATCTTCACATACTTTTTATAATGAAAATAGCTAGTTGTGGTATTTTGTGAATAGACATATAAACGCTTGGAAAGTAAAAATCCTCGGAATGCGAACCTTGGTGAGTTTCCTATATCAACCTAATTTATAATATTATGATTAATTATTCAATTAATAATCATCATTATACAAAAAAATTCTATATTTTTTTTTTAGGATAAATATTTACATGTCAATGATCATTTTCAATTTATACGTTTAACCGATGCATTGAGATGTAAATAATACACAAAAAGAAAAACATTGTTTTTTTTTTGAAAATTCTTTTTTTCTATTTAAGCACCTCGATTGACTTTTCTTGAATGGTTTAATCCACCACAAACAACTGTTATTGCCGGTGAAAAATTACAAACATTCAGTGTTGTGGGTGATGAAGGAGTTACCGATCGAGTTAAATTAGAAGAAAAACGTACATATATTTAAATATTCTGTAAGATAAATAAATAACATCATTTATTTAGTTGAAACTAGTCCTCAAGCAACAACTACGCTTATGAGGGATCTTGAACCGATTCAAGGTCGTTCATTGGTAGACTTTCCTGATTATACATTTAAATATCGTAAGTAAAGAAATAAAGCATTCTTTTCTTTTTACTTCTTTGTAAAAAGTGTTAATAAACTCCTATTTCAAAAGAATATATCATCTATAAAAGATTTACAGATTCAATATTGATCAAGACTAATTTAACACTTCTTTTTTTTTTCATTTTATTCAGCTGGCCGATTTAAAATTCGAGTTGTTAGTCTTGAGTCGCCCGATATTCATACACCTTGGCAAGAAATTGTTGTTGGTAAGTTTTTAATTTGTCTAAATGCCCAGTTAACTGGTTATCTTATTCTGTTTAAAATAACCTTTGCTGGTTACATTCTTCTTTATTTGCTCAAAAGCAACATAAGATATCTCTCTGTCGCTCCCTCATTGGGACTATCATATGCGTATAAAAAAATATCGCCAGCCCACGCACATTTTTTTTTCCATTAGTAATATCATTTCATTTTCTTATCGGACAATATTCACAGTTTTTTTTATCGCATATTCATTCTTTTCTTGCAAAACGAAATACAATAAAAACAGAAATACGTTGTAAGTTTGATAATGCTGACATTTTACTGTATATGCTTGTGTGGATTGTATAAAAAAATTTTTTTGATTAAAAAGTGATTGTTCGCTGATGATTGACACTATCATCATCGTTTTCTTTCTCGTTCTCTCATATATTTTGATTTTAATGGATCATAAATAATACCACAAAAGAATGCTCACTGCTGCTGCTGTTGCTACTACTACTACGATTATTTCGTTCTTTTTTTACATACATATAATGATCAATTAATCATATACATCTTTATAAATTCCTTTGGTGTCTTGTATCGTCTTGTTACTATTTTCTACCGTCATTTTTCGAATTAAATATACAGACAAATACGATATATACAGTATATATATATATATTTACCTTTTTTTTTTGTTACTATTTAGTCGAATAATTCTTTCAATGATTCTCAAGTACAGCTTATATGTAGCAAAGCAAAATAAATACAAGTTGCTGCTTATTTATCTCTATTTTTTTATTTAAAAGTCAACATTTATTTCGCATTTTTCTCCATGTTTCTTTTTCTTTTACTTCTATTCTACAGGTCCTATCTTATCCTATTCATCTAAGCTAAACACAGTAGCAGACGAGCACATCTACCTTTCGTCAACAAATCGTCTTTTAAACGTAACTACAACTGATAAAGAAAGCCCATTACTTTCTCAAAGAACACCAAAAATAACTCTTAGTAAAAAAGATAAACGTACATTAATTACTGTAGTATACGAAACCGATAACAACGATTCATATTTATCATCACTAAAATCAATTAAAGACTTATCTTCTTATACTTCAATATCGAGCATGTTACGTAAAATAGACGAATCACATTTTAATTATGATCAAGAACGAATATATAAACCTGATCATTATACACAAACACCAAGTATTGAATGTTATGAGCATTCAACAAATACTGATATTGATGATTTCGATTATAATAATTCTAAGACAAGACAAAATAAAATTCTAACACCAACGCGATATCGTTCAGTAACTTCTTCATCAATATCAAATATTTCTCCATTAGTTACTACTAATTATCAAAAACGATCAAACGACAATGAAACACTCAGTTCTGGTGAGAGAATTATTATACCAACGAAATTTCGCCTCAAACAAGCGCGTATTGATAAACTACTTAATGATGAAAATAAAAATCTTTCAGAACCAGAATTATACAAACCATTTATAGAACCAGACAAATCGCAACGACCACCATCACGATACGGACAACAGAATAGCTTGCAAAATCGAGACTCGATGAAGGAAGAAAATCAATCATCGCAACGATCATCATCACAATATGGACAACAGAGTAACCTGCAGAATCGAGACGCATATATCCGAGACTCGATACAACAAGACAACCAATTATCACTACTACCATCATCACAAAACAGACAACAGAAGGATCTTCAAAATCGAGATGCATATATTCAAGACTCGTTACCACGAGATAAACAATCGCACTATAACCATCGAAATGAATTCCAACAGCCAAATGGATCAGAAAAAATTCCAGTAGATATATCTTCATATAATAACCCGGCACAATCATCATCGTATTCGCGATTTGATTCAAATAACGAGACAAAAATACAGCAACAACAACAACGACCTATACAAAATATTGGTCAAGATCACACAGAACTGGTAGATAATCCATATCAAATAACCTGGGCTAATTTTGAATTACGAGGAAGTCGATCCGATAATAATTTATATACTTATGAACCTAAACGTACTCAAATGGAATTAATATTGAAAGCTACTTTGCAAAATTCCGATGTTCAAAAGTCAGCAAATGAATATATATATGCAACAACTGATAACCGAAGTGGTACAGATACACCATCAAATATTAATCATCGAATTGATTCAAATGAAACATATGATCGAGATAGACCACATTCATCAAGCCATGCAAATAATCAAAATTCAAATAAAATAAATCCTATATATGAGGATGACGATGAAAATGAAGCAAAATATTCATCTGCATCTAAACTACAAGCACCAGGACAACAAACTACAACTAATTTAGACACTTATGATGATGAAGGTCTTCATCAACGAAGTCATTATTCACCTCAAAGTCGTACACCAACTGACAATTACGAAAGAATCCATCCGAAACAAGCTGATAATATACAAAGTTCTTCATTATTATCAACACCACAAGCATCACCATCAAATTTATCAGAAAATAAATCAAAATATTTTTTTGGTAAAAATATTCAAAATCGAATATCGGATGATGAAAATAACGAAACAGAATGTGAAACATTTGGTCATGATTCACAAGCTAGACCTCTTACAAATAATAATACAAAACGTAATCTTGATTATGCATCTATAACACATTCTCAGTATCCTACTAATGATAATAATTACTCTGAGAATCTTCAATTTAAGCAACAAACTGATGCCGGAACAACTACTGCTAATACATTAACACAAAATAAACAATTTTCATCAAGTACAAATCAAGCATTAGCAGGAAAATCTCAAGATTCTCAACAAGAATCACTAAGAATTACGTCTACTAATAAGAAATCTACATATAATGATGGAAATAAAAATATTGGATACTCAACTTCACGACAAAGTCATTCCGAATCTGACGATCAAAATGATTCTGATGACAATGAAAAAATAGGTCATGATCTTGACGCTTTAAAAATACCACCAAACAAATTTAATCGCAATGATGATCATAACAAACAAACAAAGGGTGATGATGAAAAAAAAGTTTACCCTCCTCTATATGAAAATACTGATCATGATTCTCAAAATGCCGATGGTTATATTGACAACGATAATGATAATGATAATGAGGATAATGATGATGATAATATTTCAACAGGAGATGATGAAAATCATTTTGAGGATGGCAGAAACGCAGTTGACCATTTGGTAGAAAAAGTTCCAATTGTTGATCGATCAGCATATGCTGAAGTAGCGGAAGATACTTCTGGATCAAAACAGGATACCAATCGTAAAAAGAAAAAAAAGAAGAAAGGTTTTTTCAGCCGTCTTTTTAAAAGAAAAGAAAAAGATATTGATAAAGAGAACAAAAAATCATCAGAAAAGAGAAATAGTTCAAGTTCCAAGAGAAAATCAAAACGTTAATATTTAATTAAAACATACTGTTTAATTTATTTTTTTTTTATTTATCTGTGATTAATTCTATTTAACAATATTGTTAGTTTCTTAGTTTTTTTTTTTCAATGTCGTACTGTACTACGTTTTCATGCTTTATGATATGTTGTTTTATTTTGTCTAGTTTTGAAGGTTAAAAGTTATATAAAAAGAATATAAAAAAGAAATGAAGGTCATTACCTTATAGTGACAAACAGTCAATAAAAAACGAATAAGATGTATGTTTGATAAAGGATTGGAAAGTATGTGCGTGGGCGATATGGCATGTTTGAATAGAAAGCACTCTTATCAACATTAGAATAAAAAAGATACATATCTATTTGTAAAAGACTTCTTTTTTTCTTTTTATTTATTTAATTAAAGGTAAAAAACCGATCGAGATAAGTGTTCGGCCTACTGACGGACGGCATTTGTATACACATGGTATCATACCACCTAGACCACATTCAGCATCAACAACTGATATAACTGATGAAATAACTGAGAGAACGCCATTTGATAAACCACACAATTTTCGTTATACACCAAATATATATTTACGTGATTCACGTGATAATAACGAAGACGACGAAGAAGATTCCAATACGATGCCTAGATATCCAGAACAAAATCGTAATCGTCCAATAATGACCAAATCTGAATTAAAAATCTTTAAAAATTATGGTACTCAATCAGAAGAAAAACCAACACGAAATATCGGTACTATGTCTGAGCCTGTTCAAACATCTAATTTTGGTAATGACGTTCAACCCCAATCATCATCAACTCAGACTTTCGCTTTAATAGAAAATAATTTCATATCACAAGATGGAATAATCTCTAAAGAACGAGATGATTCAGAACCCAATATAATTTACACTATTCAACGTTCATCATCGGTTGATAGTCAAGAAAAAAATCGATTACCTTTGCCAATACTATTACGACCAAAAATTTATTCTGATTATGAACGACATCCATCAACATATAAAAGTCCTTCATCTTCAACAGGTCGTCAACCATATTTTAAATCACCACAACTTACTCCCCAACCTCCGATTCCTCTTCAGGTATTTTCCCCACCCTTTGAATATCGTTCTGAATCCGACGAAGAACAACAAGATGATGTTTCACCGAGCAATAAACATCTCATACCATTGTTACTCTCATCAAATCGTTCACATAAAGTGAAAAGTCAACGACAAATGGCTTCCATTGAAACTGATACTAGTCTCGATGGTATGAGATCTTCACAACATCGAGGTGCTCAATCAGAACCATTATCAACAAGAGAATTCGGTACAACAACTAGTTCACAAAAAAAACGTTCATCTAAAACCCGTGATTTAGCTGATCTTAATACAATATTATCACAACAAGGTGATGATAAATTAGGACGAAGTGGTTCATCACCACCATTATCAAGAAAAAATTATCGACTTAAACCAACTTTAGATGATGCAGAGATTAATAATACTGAAAAAATAAATTCAAATCATGATAAACCAATACCATCAAGGTCTAATTACAATTTTGATTATGATCAAAAACAAACTAGAAACTCATTTGAAAATGATTATCATCCACCAAGAAGACCTGCATTTGAAAAAAGAATAGATGAAGAAGAACAAGAACTAACTATTCATTTATATAATGAAATACCCAATCAACAAGATGTTGCAGAATTACGAAGTGATAGTTCGATTTTACTGCCATCAACAAATGTTACACAACCTGATACGTTTCCACGTGTACGACGTCAACTTAAATTACCAACATCTCAACAAAATACTGAATCAAAACTTCGTCATGCTCAACAACAACAAATACCATCAACAAACACTTCATTAGTACTTAATATTGGAACAGAAAATATTATTCTTCAATCACCTGATAATGAGTTTACAGTTCCATTTGAACGGCAATATGTTTATGAACCAAATCATGATTTTACAACAGAAAATGAACAGATTCGTTCATCAACATTAAAGCGTGACGATTTAAGGACAAGAAATATTCAAAAAATTTTACTACCTATACTTAATTCATCACGAACATATGTTATTGAAAAACAACCACTTCATGGTAATCCTGTTCGTCAATCACAAACGAATGGAAATTTTTATTTAGCAACATCACCAACATTACGTTCATTAAATTCATCATATCTAGCTGATGATTCAGACATAAATCCACTTACACAAATGATTGAGACAACAAATTTAAATGGACATGAATTATAATTATAAATTGTTTAATTTTATATTCAGCTTTAAAATTATCTAAATGATGATTTCTATTTATGAACTTTATAGATACCGGTTTTTATGAAGACAAAAAAAGAACGAGACTATTTTTGACTGTATTTCAGCGTATCTATATCATTTACATTATTATTTCTATTGTATGCTTTTAGCCCGTGATAATCATGAAACTTAGAATCTTTTTAAATTTCTCTCGTATTCTATTATTCTTATGAATAACAAATAATGATGACACCGCTTTTCTTTTTTACGTTCAATCTTTTTTATTGTATGATGAGTATGTGGATATTATTAATAAGAAAAAAATAAATTATACTTTAGATTTCTATTCGAAATTTCAATATCAAAAATGATTAGTTTTGTGGTAGATTGAAAGTCTCATAAGAAACGTAGAAAGATACTAAATAGAATTTTAATCGAACACTTTTGAAATTTTTCAATTTCTTCTCAAAAAAAAAGTATGATTATAATTAAATGGTACAATGAATGGCACAAGTTATTTCTTAACAATCTGAAATATGTTGCTTTAAACGAATAAATAATATTTTAGAACTAATCTTGAATCGATAACAATTATCTAATTCTTTTTCTCTTGTCTTCTTTAAATAGTCATTTAAAACAAAACGAAAGAATACGTTTATATTGCGTCTTTAGGTTAAAAAAAAACTAGGCCAAGGTTTCTTTCTTTCGTTTGCCTGGAGTACATAAATCAAGGAAAAAATAGGACTCGAGTTTTAGACACAAAAAAAAAACATGTTTGATCGGTTATATTATTTGGTTTTCATGCAATAAATAAATTACAAGTAATTCATAACGAACATTTATGTTGTACAGTAACAAATAAACTTAAGGCATCTAAAGATAAATATAACATGATGGGAAAATGTTTAACAACAGCGTACATTTAAATTTTTTTTCTATAATGTTGAGCAATTAGCTGAAATCTAGATAATGATCTTAAGAGCCAATAGAATATTTTTTTTACCAAGATTTCATAGATGAACTTATGATGGTAAGGTTTTGAAAAAAAGAACCAGACACGGTAGTTTTTAGGTCTCAGAAACTATTTTTTAACAATGTCATTTTAAAGCGAACAAAATGAGAAGTCGTCGCATTTTCTACGACCTTCGCTTAACAAGTTACAAGTATTACAAAAAACGAAAAAGGCATTTTTTAGTGGATTTTTTGATAAATTTCGTTTTTTGTGACACTTTTAACTTTTTAAAGAGGAGGTGATTGAAAATGCAGCGACTTCTCATATTTTGTTCTTTAAAATGGCATTGTTAAAAGATAGTTTCTGGGTACTGAAAACTACCAATCATTGTACTTAGAAGTAAAACTAAGTGTGGTTTTTCTCATGATGTACACTAAAATTTGTTTCAACCAAGTTCTTTTTCATGCCAACATTATTTTATTATAACTAAGGTAATAACACGTAAGACTTTTTTTTTTTTTTGTACAATGTACCATTCATTTCTCTTGAAATTGAAGTAAAGCTAAGTTATATTGACTCATTTTATTCGTCGATGGATGCAAAGTTTTTGAGACTCACACAATCGCTGGTTCAAAAATGTTATTTTTGTAAAGTTTAGAATACGAAACAATTCATTTAGATGTCAAATATTGATGCAAAAATTTTACTACTCTGATTACAAAGTGGAGCTTGTCAAGCATTACGAGATTGCTATCTATTTTTTTTTTGTCGTTAGCTTGAAACCTAAACAGAGAAAAAGACTCAGACATGATGATGATGATGAAGTTTGACGATGATATTGAGAAAAGACGTAAAAGGACATTTATACTTGTACACTCCTCAACTTCAATGGAACGTATTCTTTGTTATTTTCTTTTTCATCTTGTTCAGTCTTGACAATGACTGAAAAAAAATATCAACGTGTTGACTTTCATGTGTTTTGTTCAATATGGATGCACATTGATTATTAATGAGATGTGACGGCCGCGTATGCATTCGATCTTCATACTTTGTGTCATGATGTTCTAGAGAACGGGGAGTCTTTAGAATAGTGAAAACTATCGACAGGATAGGACTGACTCTAAGTGAAATCGCTTTTTGTTATTATGTTAATTGAAATTTCATTGCCGAAAATTGAGATCGCTGTGTACTGCATTTATGTAGTTCTTTGCGAATTGTCTTCTTTTACTTATCAGACATACGCATCGAAGAAGGTAAAAGTTGTTTTAACAACATGAATTTGTAGGAACTTTTTCCGTACCTGACTCCTATAACTATTTACTACAATAGTCCCCATAACAGAGTGGATATGTATCTCACCAAACAAGAATGTATTGAACCAAACTAAATATAGCGCGTTGTTTTAAATTTCATCTTCTATCTACATAGGAATATGGTAAACTTTTTACTGCTGATATTCAGTGTAACAAAGATATATAATTCAGCTGATAATTTATTTTGATTTCAAATATAAGAAGTTGCCATGAAAAAATTAGATAGATAAGGAAAACATCCGCTTCTACAGCAAAATTTCATACTGTACTATTTATTCAAGTGAGAGTTATTCGTGATAAAATATATTGGATTTTCAGTATTCACCTCTTAGAACAGTTCAAAGATGATATTGAATAGTTTCGTGAAGGTCGAAAAAGACGCCCATACAAAAACTATTTGATCGTCATTATCAAGAATCTCATTCAGCGTCATCATTATATCAATAAATCTAAAGAATTATCTTTTAATCATCATGATACTCAACTAAAATTGATTTCATTCACACCCAATCATCATCAAATAATTATTATTTATTCATGTCCAAAAAAAATAAACAGGATCAATACCATATTGTTTGCCTTGTTGCTCTCGCCGGTTAATAACTTGCAAATCTTCTCTATCTGAACTATACATATTCAAAAGTTTTTCCTGAAATCGAGGAACCATCAATCGACAATATACAGTTCTAATTTCTTTAAAATACCATTCTTCACAAACACTAACAAGTCCTAATTCATCGTTGTCTATTGATTGACAATAACGTTGATTTGATTGGATTCCAAATCAATTCCAAAAACAAAATACTTATTTTCCTCAAATATATATTCCTCCCCATTATACTCATATTTTTTTCATAAATGGAATAAAAAATTTAAGTAAATATCGATCGTTCAATACCAGTTATTATGATAAGACATACAAAAAAAATATTGAAATAAAAGAATTGATACAATGGGACAATTATTTTCCACATGGTTTAATGAATCTGATCATCATTGTACATATTATTTTAGTTTTGATTAAGTATTTTGCACCACAACAATTTATGATACAAGCTGACGATGAACAAATGACAAATATTTGATCATTTCTTTCTCTTCTTTACATAAAATGATTTGCGTACAAACTTAATCAATAATGCAAGCTCAGTTGATCAAAAGTAAATAATTCATAAATTTTTGTTTTTGGAATTTAACTAAATAAAAACTAATGCACTAGAAAAGAAAAGGAAAAAAGAGAAATTCTGTTCGAAATACTGAAATAAATAAGACTTGCCCAGCTGATGTGTTTGGAATCAAAATTTAAATTGATTTCAATTTCATTTTTTTCTACTTGCTGCATAGCTACCCATCGGTTCTATCAGTACATTTACATAAACAAATACTGGGCTCACTGAACATGTTGCACATCATTTTCAAGTCTATGCAGAGTGGTTGCAAGTGTGGTACGAAGATAATAACTACATACACATCCACACTTCGAAAATTTTTATAAAAAATAAAAAAACGAAAAGAAAATAAACATGAATATTAATGAAAACACTACAAAAAAGCGATGCAAAATGATCATCTCATCAATAATTGAACTGATGAGAACCAATTATGTTTTCCGTTCGTCGTCAATGATCAATCTCATAATTGATACAAAAAAATGTTGCGTTGTGGGGAGTCCTGGTTGAATGGAGTACATCTCCGATTTGTAACTGGAGCCTATAAGATTCTATTCTTCCTTTTCGTACAAGCAAGATGTCTTAGTACAACGTCATACACAGTAACTCAAACAATTTGTCGGTCGTATATATGGAATGTATATGCAAATTTGAAAGGTCGTGTTTCAATGTTACATTGAATGGCCGCGGAAGACATGCATATCATTCTGCTTTGTTCTCTCTGCTCCACTTTCGCTTGCTTTTCTCTATTTCATGTGCAACTTGTTTTCAAAATCATATGTCCCTTTAAACCCTATCATGCGTAAAGGGTTAAATAGATATCGCATGAAAGTTACAATATAACGTTGTCAATGATTAATGATTCATTAATGATCATCATTGACTAGTCGCTCATGTTAAAAATATCTATAAGGAATGATTTTCTGCTATGAAATCATTCTACTCAGCCGATCATCTCATCATGAATAGATGATGTAAGTCATCTAATAAACTTTTCTTTTTGAGGAGGTGCAGCATACATTTATTTTAATAATTATGGACTTTTTCATAATGACAACGAATAACATTAAATTATTATTATAAATATTATATTCCAAATTATTTATGATGAAATTTAAAATATTGTTTTACATTACAAAAGAATTGTTTACAATGTTCTGAAGTCGAATTATTGACTTCGTCGATATTGTTTCGGTCATTTCACCTGTTACTATTAATACAACACAATGGGTTACAATGAAAATTATTTGAAACAATTTCTATTCTATTAAAACATATTTATATTAGAATCAACTAAATTATAATGAATAATATAATTTCCATCATTAATAAAAATGCAAGGTAGGTATGTTGCTTGAGATTTTTCTTTTCTGCTAAGAAGTAGGAGAATAGTTTGAGTTAAGTTAATATTTTTTCAAACTCAGAGAAGGGATATGACATTAGAAGTCCTATCGGCCAAGACGACTTCTAGGAACAATTTTTACTGATCCAGTAGGCATATGATCTATTCCGGATGGCATAGTTTTAATTTTCTTTAAATACATTAAATGCATATATGAATTG